CCGTCGCAGCTATTTCACCAACGGCTCCAAACTGCTCTGCATCCAGAAGTTTCACGTGGGATGGGACTCTTCTCTCACCCACTCCCTCTTCACCACTTCCCCCCTTTGGGGAATTCAGTCTTCTGAATGCTCCTGCCGTTGTCTCGCTCTCAAAAGCAGCCCCTCGGTGCACAGGGGTTCTTGCTTTTCTCCCCAACACGTCTTCCACTTAGAACAGCGAAGAGACGCTTCTGGGGTAGATGTCGTCCCAGCGGTGGTCAGAATCTCACCTTCCGTGGTTCTTCTGTCCCCTTTGTTGAGGGACAGGCCAGCCTCACGTTCTGGGCGTCATCTGACTCGATCTTCTCGAGTGTGGCCCGGCTAGCTCAGTGATGAGGTTTCTCTTCACTCGAGTTTCGAGCCAGCATATGTTTGTGGGGTTCACTGATTTTCTTCAAGAATCCAAGTCTATAGAGCGAGTAAAGAAATCAGGGGGGGACTCTCTCTCTGGTTTGCATTCCACAGTTTATTTCTGTGAAGGGGAATCCAAAGGATGAGAGACAAAGGATTTGGGGTCTGGGGGGTCTCTTTTAACAGGGTTTCTCGGAGGGAGGGAACATCAGAGAGAGAACCAATTATTTTTCTCAGTTAATACATCTTATAAACTTTCTAACAATACCAATACTAGTAACAGACACCAACTTCTTCAAATGCCCACGAAGGTGTAGTATTCTCCACAGAGGGGCAGAGGGGGAGAGAGGGGAATCCATGGTTTCCTGGCAACACGGGGGTGTTATAGATACATATATTGTTGGCTTTTCGCAAATATTAAAATGAATGTTATGTGTATAAGAATGGAAAATTTTGTTGTATTAAAATAGTTTTCTTTATTTCTATTATTGATGAAACTTAGAAATAGTGGTATAATACATATATGTTAGGCTATGACATAGTATTAAAATAAAAACTGCTTTTGTCTGTATAACCCAAAGACTGAAGAAGATAGCTGGAGACACTTTCTTTTTCCTTTTGTAAACTCTCTTATCCAGATGAAGACAGCAGTGACCAGAACTCTGGGGGGAGGAATTTATTGCATTTCTGGCATCAGAGAATGTAAATCTCGATGGCGCCAAGAAGATTGATCTATTGGGAAGGGGGCAAGAGCAGACAAAACAGAAGAACACAAAAGATCCTA